ACAAGTACAATTTATCACTCCATTCAACTACATTCTAATGGCAATTAATGTAAGTAATTTTAGGGAAAGGAAAATATTTGTAAATATTATTCATGACATAATTAACTGATTTCGAATTATAATCTGATTGGTTATTCGATAAATCTGAGCAAAACAAAATCGTCGATCAGTTGGACAGTGACAGTTTACCCACCCTTATGATCACTATTAGAAACCTGGAGGCACTGTGTGGCTGTTCCGTCATGGTATATAGAATTCATAATCCTCACAACCAAAATTATCATATACTCATTAGTGACTACGTTTGTGAGTAAATTCTAAGAGTTGTGGTAGGAAGCTGTGAATAGTGGAATTCAACAGTGTTCTTTTGTGTAAGGTGGTTACTAACCGAAGACAGTGGATGAAGCCGCACAAAATACTATGGATTGATTGGAGTCAGATATTAACATCGTTGGATACCGATTCATTGGTCGAGAGGTTAAGCGTTCTCATGTGAGACTAAAGTTCTTGAGTTATCCTAATTATTAGTTGAACGACTAAAAAGCATTTAGATTATTATTTTTATCAGGTCCCAGAATTTTCTGCGACATTTTCATTCGGAATACTTAGTTGGCTTTATGTGAAAGTAACCTTATTACGGATGTTAGGTGATTGAAGGAAGTCTCAATAGGAAAAACTGATTATATATCTTGTAATAATAGTTGACAATCGTCAGTATGTCGACGAGTAACTGACTGTGTAATTTACCATTCAATGCTCAATTTTAGTTTGATGGAATAAACTTTGGAAACATTAATACCTAATTATATATAAATTAGAGGCCTTACTGCCTGGAAACATATAAATATTAATGTATCATCGTAAAGAGTAAAGTCTGATAAAGATGTAATGTTAGACCAAACCGTATTACAAACATGGAAGCGATACTGGAAGAAGAAGGCCGTTTCGTCCTGGTATAGGACTCACCCATGACAATGCGCATCCACAACTCCTGCACCCGAACGCTTAACCTCTGGAACACTGGGCCAGCCGGCACCTGGCGGTGTTAATATCAATCTAGGGGTTTTATAGCGACATCATCTATTTGTCTTCAGTAGTTACTGCCTACACATGACAGGATTGAAGTTCACTGACCACACGACTTCTCACTAGAATTAGGAGAATTTCTTAACGAACAGTGTTTTACACATTGATTGTGTGATTCGACTGAGTGTGTTTGTTCGTCCTGGTCTAGCAGAGAATACCTAACGCCATTGTAATCAATCTTGGCACAACATATTCGTGTGTTGGTGTTTTCCAGCATGGTAAAGTGGAAATAATCTCCAACGACCAGGGTAAGAGAACGACACCGAGTTATGTGGCATTCACAGACAATGAGCGTTTGATTGGTGATGCAGCGTTGAACCAGGTGGAGATTAACGATTTCAGTCATTGGTTTCAAATCCTGTAAGGTTCAGGAGTCGTGGATGCGCACTCCAACTGATAAGTCCCATACCAGAACGAAACGGTCGTCCAATTGTGCTTCCAGGTTTCTAATGGTGGCCTAACAATGACTGATTGATGACTTCAACATGTAAAAGACACTGATATCTATAACTGTAAACTGAAAAAAAATCTAACTGAAAACAATATTATCCGCTTACATGATGTATATTATTTCAAATCAGTGTGAATCAAACAAACAGCACAGTAAAACATTCAGATGAACAAAAGTTTATTGTCGATTATTATTCTATGAAATATCATCACATTATCTATGACATTTAATCAAAATAATGTAAACTATCATCATTTTGAATGATGATCATTTTCGTGAATATTATTGTCTGTTGATCGATTTGTTTATTCATTTTCGTTCAATAGTCAATGATCATTTCATTTCCAGCGTCAAGGTCATTCTGTGAATTGGCAGAAGTCAAATGGATGTTAATTAGTTGGACTGTGACATTAGCAATCACTTTGATGATTGTGATGTTTGGCAAATTAATACGATTCAATATAACAATATCGTTGAGAATATTTTTTACTAGTATAACCAGTTTACAAGTATTGGTTTTTATGATAATTATTCTATTAAGAAATTATGTTCGAGAAGATGTAAGATTTTATTTGTTTGGGTGAGATTGATATTATTATTATTATTATTATTATTATTATTATTATTATTTTGATTGTCTTGATTGATAGGATAAGATTTTGAAGAGTGTTGTGTTTCGAAGTTGACGTCGTGAATCGATGAATGTGAAATTGAAAATTTCGAATAATTGTACAGCAGTTCCGTGTCTTAATACATGGGAGTCGTCAGCAGTGAGCATCCACGACCACCCCCTACCCTTGCACGGGATTCGAACCTAGGACCTTCGATCTTGTGTGCAAAAACTTAATGTCTTGACCACTAAGTCAGCATCCAACCTACTCAACTGTAAACTGAAAATGTTTTCCTTTCAATACAACATTTGAAACGACTGTTTCGTTTGACTTTTAGTTATCCTGATAGGTTGTAATCAACCCCTAAGAACAATAGATTTTACCAGGCTATTTTTAGAAACTCTTCTGGTGTGCACGGAGTTAACTGATGTTAAACTTCAAACAGTTCATGATAATGTGTTACCAACATTCATTGTCTTCGTTAGGTTAAGTGCTTCTTACGCAAAATAGTTGAACTGTACAGCATGAAGTCTCATAATGCCCTAGAGGTTGAACATTCAAACCGTTAGATGCCAGTACAGTGATCTAGGATGTTGAGTGTTCACACACAAGACCAAAACTCCTGGTTTCGATTCATGTGTGCGGTGGTCATGGATGCACACTGTTGAGGAATGGAACAGTCGTTCAATGAATTCAGGTTTCTAACGGTGGTTTAGTGATTTAGATCAGTTTATGAAGATAATGATTATTAAACGTTTAAATCATCAATCAATCATGTTGTTAGACCATCATTAGAAATCTGGAAGCACTGAACCACGGCCATTTCGTCCTGGTATGGGACTCATCAGCAGCGCGCATCCACGACTCTTGCACCTCACAAGATTCGAACATAGGTCCTTCGGTCTCGCGCACGAATGCCTAACTTCTGGACCAATGGACCGGCATCCAACGGTGTTAATGTTTAACTCTGATAAATCTAAGACTTTTGCGAAACCTCACCCATTCTCTTCTGTAGTCACTGCCTACACCCGACAGGACAGATTTCTAATTCTTTGGTCTAACAATTAGATCTACGCAATTTTCATCTCGGGAAATAACAAATTATTATTATTATTATTATTATTATTATTATTATTATTAATGTTTGTATCAAATAGATGCAGTTCATTATTTCTGGATCAGGCATGTTATTAACAATATTATATGTAAGTCATTTAAGTGTGTATCCTCTAAATATTTACTGTTACTATTAATATGGCGTTTTTTTTCTTAATTTCAACATTCGAAACTGTTAAAATATTATTCATCAAATATCCTAAGAGAATCACTTTTGTAAGTCTCATTCTACTGGTCAATTCCTATTGGTCGCCTTAACTATTCAATGTCACATACTTCCGGATTCTCAGTCCATGGTGCTTATCCTCTTCTGGACACGGATCTCGTACTTTAGGGATGCTTATAGAATACAGATTCTACTTCATATCAAGTCTTGTCTTCTTTTCTCAATCGGGAGTTGAAACACTCGGAGTAGAGTGGCCTATCGTGTCGTCGGATCCTCGATCCTGGCTCTCGGTCACTGACTAAGATGAATTCGTAATAGTTCAAGCATATTAAATTGACGTGGTCACGTGTATTCGTAACGCAGACTTTATTGTCTCTGTTGTTAGAATATGGACTGCTGGCTAAATGCTTGTGAAATTCACATTGTGTTTTGAACTATTTGGATCGGATATTCATATAGAGATTTGAAGGCAGTACTTATTGGTTCAAATTTTAATGTGTCGTTTTCAAACATTTTAATACACAGTGACGATATATAACCCGAGGGACGGCCAAATCAAAACATGGCACCAATCCCTGGGGTCAGTGACAAGTGGACTGAGTCATGTTGGTGAGTGTAGACTGCGTGATTTGGGTCCGCGAGATGATAGTAATCGATGGTTCAGAGACATTGAATGACATGGTTTAAAATCGTTTTCGCTGGTGCAGATGCATCCACTCTTTGTGTTCTCTGAAATCCTAACCTTCTGAATACCTCATCATCTCTCTTTCACCTTCTAAATTTATCTCACTGAATTATACTTCTCGAATCATATCTTCGCTCCCTAATCTTTTCCATTACCAGTAATACTTCCACTATCTCTACCACTATGGGATTTGTGTTGACAATTGCATCTCTGTGTGCTAATTTAGTATTGCAACCTGAAATTATGTATGTACATACGAAGTTCTATGTTGTAAATGACTGACTGACTGATGATAATCTGAAAGACATATTTTACGAGTATGATTTATACTACTAATACTAGTAGTAGTATAATATGATGTTTTAAAAAAATAGTGGTCGTAGTTGTTGAATAAACTGACAGCTATCTGAATCCAGCTCTTATTCATTGGATTACTGAATACAATTTGACATGTATGACATGTAACACTGGAATTCTTTAAAGATACCCCACTCCTCAAAACTAGCAAACTAAGCTATAAGATAAGAGCAAAACAGAAAGTCAACTTGATTGGATTGTACAATTATGGAGATTGTTATCTTACATTGAAATCTTGAATGAATGATTTTTAGACCATCATTAGAGAAACTTGGAAGCACTACTAGACGACAACCGTTTCGTCCTGGTATGGGACTCATTAGTGACATCGCACATCCACGCCACCTTCTGCTCACTGAAATCGAACACATGACTTTCAGTCTTGCATGTGAACACCTCATCTCTGAACTACCTAGCCGGAAATTCAGCGGTACTGATTGTCTAACATCTGATCAATCTAGGGATTTCATTTGTAAAAAAAAGAATATTAATCTGTGTTATGAATAAAGATTTATTGATCTGTTTCAGGAATTGTTAATAGCAACTCAAGCAATTTTTCCCGGTGATAAACGATTCACTTTTCAAGATAATCAACATTTTCTATGTGGATTAATTCTGGGGACAATAATGATTTCAATAAATATGATTATTTCAAGTGAAATCACATTTGTATTTAGTTTTTTAAAGCATAAAAACTCAACAAATTTGAATAAAACAGACATACATGTGAATGATATTTATATTAGTGTATTGATTGATTGACAATAATAAATGTTCATGTTATCAAGGAGGAAGTATTATTTTGGTCTTGTTTTTGTTACGTCTGCACGTAAACACTTCAACTTGATATGCTTGAACTATTACGAGTTTACCTCAGTCGGAAAGTGAGAGTGAGGATCGAGGATTCGGCGACACGATAGGCTGCTCTTATTCGATTGTCCCAACCCCTTCCCACTGAGTAAAAGAAGAAGACTTGATATGAAGTAGAACCTGTATTCTACAAGCATCCAGAAAGTAGGAGGTCAAAGTCCGGAAGAAGGCAAGGATCCTGGACTGAGGATCCGGGTCATAAAACGTTACAGCTAATGTGTATTTATACAGTTAAGTCAAATAGGAAACAGCATCGAAGTCGGTGACATTGACATTTAGGACAACCAACAGGAAACAATATTTGGAGTGACACTGACAGCCAGGACGACCAATGGGAAACAACATTGAAATACTTGACATTGATATCTAGGACGACCATAATATTGACCAGTAGGAATTGACCAATAGAATTAGACTTACGAAAATGATTTTATGATTATTTTAGTCTTGTTTTTGTTACGGATGTACCTAGACATGTCATTTTTATATGCATCTTCTGCTATCCTACGCCATATGCTATACTGTTATCTAGAGCTGAAGGTTTTCTATAATACTAGAGGTTCGCTGTGAACATTGTGGTGGATAGCTTGGCATTACTTTGTCAAGCATTGCTAACAGTCCATTTACAAAATTGGTTAGCAGGGCGATTGATTCCGTTGATACTAATGGTGCTGGTTGTTTTGCAACATTTCCGAGGACCATTGTCATTGGGACGCGTTGTATTGCATATCACCATTGCTAATAATAATAATGAGTTTTACAGTCATGTGTAAGCGGGATGGGTCGAAATGGCCTTTTCGTGTGGTGCATATTGATTGACGAAGCTATCATGGATCGGAAATAATCACTATTTATGTACTAGTGTATATGAATGGTGTGAATGGTCCACCAAGGTATCAGGTACCTGTGTGGTTGAACCATAGGATTGAGTCGAACTGTTCATGTCGAATTGCTAACACGTGAGCAGTCTCCTTGATTCGCCTGAAAACCAATTTAAAATTGACCTTGACAATAGAAGGTTAATTTATATAATTGTGAATTAATAACTGTGTCTGTGGACGTTTGGATCATTCGAGAATTTAGATAATGTGAGATAGTTAAGTAATTTCATCGTTTATCATGCGGGAAAAAGTGAAATAGATTACATAATAATTACATAGCAGATAATTTAAAAATCATTTCTGTTACATGTTACGCTCGTCTCTAGGTATGCTTAAATTATTACGAGTTCACCTTAGTCGCATAACGAGAACAAAACAATGAACCAGCGTCCAGGTAGGCTTCTGTGATCCTTTGACCAAAATGTATCAAGAAGTCTTGATATAGCGCAGAAACTGTATACTACAAACACCGAGCCAGCACACAATGAATCCAAGCACTCAAACTGCGTTTATTTATACTCTATAGAGACGTCCTTGTGACAGTCACAAAAAAAGCATACTGAAATGACTCAGTAACCAATAACAGCCAAGGTTGTTCCTGGTGGGAAATGTGATCTCAAGGTCAACAGATCGGCCCATGAAATAAATCCAAAATGAAGATATTTTTCAAGCGAGTTCTGGAGATCTAACATCCCCCAATATTACAGACTGTTATATTCTTACACTGACTGATGAGTAGATACGACCTTTCGGCAACTGATATGCAACAGTGACACGAAAACTGATACTCTATGCCTAATTAATGGTTCGGCTCAATACTAATTTTTTTTCCGAACGAAGAGACAGAACAGAAGTTCAGTGATCTCCAATCCAACTTCGTTACATCATATTCCGGGAAAACCTCCATTGAAATATACCTACAAACCCAGACCATTTGAGTAACAAATATTAATGAGAAACAGTAAAATTCACAGTTGAAATACAAGCTAGAAACTAGAGTAATCCGGAAAATGACAGAATCGAAAGAACTCAATAAAAATATGCAATCATTATATTCATATAAGAAAACTAACTCCGGAAGTTTGTTGTTACCTCTTAGTTAAATCATCTTTCGCAGCACTGACCAAGTTAGTTGAACACCATCATCAGTACACACAAACACCCACAGTATCTCATGCCAGATCGAATTCAACATCTGCCATGTTTCCTAGACGAACACAACACAATCAAAACACTCAGTCGGGACTTGACAGTCTACGATTTCAAAATTCAACCAATCTCCATCGATCATTCAATGTTATTGTCACGCATGAACGTAAACATGTCAAGTTGATATACTTGAACTACTACGAGTTTACCTAGTCGGGAAACTAAGAGCGAGGATCCGGCGATACCACATGCTACTCATAATTCGATTATCCCAAACCCCATGTTGAGTAAAATAAGAAGACTTGATATGAAGTAGAACATGTATTCTACAAACATCCATAAAGTACGAGGTTCGAGTCCAGAAGAATGCAATGATCCCGGACTAGGGATCCGGGTCCGGGTCTGAGTCAGAAAGCGTTACATATAATGCATATTTATACATTTATGTGGAATAGGAAACAGCATCGAAGTTTGCGACATTGACAGTTAAGACAACCAATAGGAAGCAACATTTGAAGTGTACATTGATAGTCAGGGCAACTAATAAGACATAACATTGGAGTACGTCAAACTGATATCTAGGACGACCATAAAATTGACCAGTAGGAATTAACCAATAGGAATTGAACAGTAATTCTCTTAGGAATATTGGATGAATATCCTAACATTACCTCAGTCGTAAAGCGAGAGTGAGGATCGAGTGATTCGGCGACACGATAGGCTACTCTAATCCGATTGTCCTAAGCCTCTGTTAAGTAAAAGAAGACCTGATATGAAGTAGAACGTGTATTCTAAAAAACATCCAGAAAGTACGAGGTCCAAGTCCAGAAGAGAATAAGCGTCCCAGACTAGTGATCCGGGTCTGGGTCCGGGTCATAATACGTTACAGATAATGCATATTTATACAGTTATGTCAAATAGGAAACAGCATCGAAGTCTGTGATCATTGACAGCAAAGACGACAAACGGGGAAAAACATTTGGAAGTGACAGTGATAGTCAGGACGACCAATAGGAAACAACATTTGAAATATGTGACATTAGATAAGTTAGGATCACCAATAGGGAATTGATCAATATAATTAGACGTACACAAATTTACACGCACATACGCACGCACGCACACATACACACATTCATTTATTTTGCAGAGAATTCACATCTCACATAATTCATGTTTACTCTTATTATTAAGGTCAACATTTGAATATCATATGATTAACAATTAGGATAAACTTGATTTAATTATCACTGATGACAATGAAATAAAAAATTACAAATTCATAGTGTAATGAACAGATATGCTGATTATGATCATAATAATAATAATGCAATGTGTTCACTAGTGACTTGTTTCGTGAGGAATGTTCTCGGAGTTCTATTGAGAAGTCTTGTGACCAGTGGAGTTCAAGAATGTCGGGTGTAGGGACAAATGGGTGAGGTTGCGCAGACTCTCTAGATTGATCATAGTTAGGCATTAATACCGCTGAATGTCGGCCCAGTGGTCCAGAGGTTAACTCTTCACTCAAAATACCGAAGGTTCGGGGATCGAATCATGCGAGTAGCAAGAGTCGTGGATGCACAATGCTGATGAGACTTATACCAGAACGAAATGGTCGTCCAGTCCCTTCAGGTTTCTAATGGAGTAGTCTAACAATGGTTGATTGATGATTTCAAATGTGTCATAATACTGATCGCCATAACTCGAACTGAAAGAACAGAATAACAAAGCCATAAATTAATGTTTCATAGTAGAGAGTGTGTGGTGCGCGCTACTTATAAGTAGTATATGACGCAACTGAAGATGTAATGTCTGGCAGCAGTAGATGGCGGAAGATCAAGAAAGGAAGAGTGGGAACACAATGGAATTTGTATGAAACGCATGAATAGTGGAATGTCAGACAATGGATTGATGATGGATTGAAGATTTGCAAATTAACCGTTTACGATATGGTTTTCCTATTTTACTGATTAACTCTGTAATTTACGATAAATACAATTTGGTTGCCCTCACCTGTGTTCTCCTTCACTACAAGTGGATTGAAGAACTTGGAAAGCTTAAAACTGGAACAACATTTATTCGAATTATAGATTATGTAATGAGAAATCTTCATATAGTTGGATAGTGAGGCGTGTATCCAATTATGTGTAGATGAATAGTTGAGATGGATGGTGTCGAGCAATGGAATCCAGGATGCATGTTTCATCCTTTATGGAACTTGTCAGTTGGACATACTCCAGAGTTGATGTTCACTTCGAAATTTCAGTTAAGTTGTTTGAAGATGTTAAATCCCCCAAAACTCGGCTGATAAATGCCTCATCTTGGATTTTCACGTTTCCGAGCATGGGCTGATCAACTGACTGTGAGATTTCATTTCCCACCAGGAAAATCTAGTGCTGTGATTGTCTCCCAAGGACGTTTCTATGATGTATAAATAAACGAGATTTGTGTGCCTGATTGTATTGTGATTGCTGGGTGTTTCGTAGAATATACTTTCTACGCTTACCCAGACTTCTGTTTTACCGCTTGGGATTCAAGGTAGCTTACTTGGACGCGTGTAACTGTCTCGTTCACGCTTATCGACTACGGTGAACTCGTAAGCGTGAACTTCAAGCGTACCTAGTGACAAACATAACATAAGTACCGTTCACTTCAAATTTGATCGCATTATCTATTTAACTACCGAGTTCAAATAGCCATTCCATTGTACACTAGAATGAAACGAACAACTCGTACGAGTGAATTATTTGAACAACTTTTATCACGTAATCTGTAATTCTTCTGTATGTCTCCCAAGTTGTTTGATCTACTCCCTATTAAAAAACATTGATTTAATCTTTCAGTATTCTTATCGCAAGCAAT